GTGTGTGTGTGTGTGTGTGTGTGTGTGTGTGTGTGTGTGTGTGTGTGTGTGTGTGCGCGCGCGCGCGCGCTGCAGCTTTTTTATTTATTTACATTTTTTATTTATTTGGACTGCGTGAAAATTACACAGAGTACTATTTAGCAGCCAAGTAGCCAGTCTGGCCTCGTTCAGTGGCCTTGTTCACTTGCCACCTTTTTTTTTAATTTGCATTATTTGACTGCTCCTCTTTTTAAAATCTCTAAGCTGAGAGAAATAGCAGCTCATTGTTACAAAAAAAAACATGAAGGTTCAGAAAATTTCAAAAAAGTTTCTTCAAGTGCGGTCACACAAACCATCAAACGCGATGATGAAACAGCCTCAGGAGAGGAAGACCGAACCCACCCCCCCCCCCCCCCCCCCCGGCTGCAGATTAACCCACATCAATGCTTCCCAGAGTTCAAACAGCAGACACATCTTAGCATCAAGTGTTTGGAGGAGGCCGTGAGGGTCGGGCTTTCATAGTAAAAACTGTTGCCCCACAGAGGGAGACCAGCAAGAGCAGAAAAAAAAAACTGCTTGGTCAGAGAAACAAGGACTTACCTTCGGAGCCATCAAAATGTGAGCTTTGCTTTCATGTGTTTTGAATTTTAAAAAGTGTTTGGAGCAGATGTGAGAAGCAGATGGTAAATAGTTGTTACCCGCATGTGTGGCTTTTGACTTTTATATTGAATTAACCCTCCTATCGTCCTCAAATATATTAACAAATTTGGTCCTTGGGCTCAATCTGACCTCAGGGATATTTATCTTGTGAAAATGATTTATGGAATATAGTTGGCCACGTTTTTGTGACAGGAACTTAGTTTATTTTTTGAATACATAAATAATCCCTTGAAAATCAGTACGTTGACCTGTTCTCTCGCACCACCATCAGGGCAAACCTTTAAATTAGAATTAATTTATCTTGAATTTTTCATACAAATCTTCTCAAATTTACTTCTCAACATTAATGACCACAAGTCTTGTTTTGGTGATGATGATAGGACCTTTACTGTAGCGCCACCATCAGAAAAAAACTTTCAGGTTGAGAGCACATTCATGACTCTCACAGAATGACCAACTGTCCACATATACACGTTTCCCCTCTAAATTTGTCATCCCAAGCACAATATTTTTTATAGATGGTGTTACAAAGAGCTCAAATGATGACTTGATGCCATCAACATGGCTGACTGCATATCTGTTGGGCCCTGGAACCATTTTGATAATATTACTAGCTCTACGTCTACACTGCTGTTTCAGTGGAGAAAGGAACCATAGTATTTTTCCATTTTTGGAAGAGATCATGTCTGCAGGTGGTTGAGAGACAACAGGAGGGTTAACCCTCCTATCGTCTTTGGGGTCAATTTGACCCCATTCAATGTTTATCATTCAAAAAATAGTATTTAACTTTTTKTTCTTTTGCTTCATATTTCATGACTTCTCCTAATTTGATGGGGACAACTGATAAAACATAAAATTTTCATGATGATATTTTTTCAMTGTGCTGAACACATACTGCACGCACTGGTCGTCCTCAGGGGTCAATTTGACCCCAAGCTGTTTTAGCTGTTAAAACATGTCGGTCAGTGTGTGTGACCTAACCTGACCACACCTGCAGGTGCAGTTCATACATTTGAGTCGATATATTTTGTTTTATTTATTTATTATTTATTTTGGATACTTCCTGCACCGTGTGTGTGTGTGTGTGTGTGTGTGTGTGTGTGTGTGTG